TTTTTCTGATTCTGATAATGACATTGATATGGAAACGCAACCTTCCATTGACAATGAAACAATTGAAAGAAAAAAGCAAAACAGGCGAAAATGGCTTCCATTATGCACGTACAATGATAAGAATGATGTTATTAAGAAAATCAAGGATGATGGTATATGGAGCAAAACACATACGAATATCACCAACGAAGGAAAACGGACTTATTATAGGTGTAACCAAGTTAAACGACGTGGAAAACAATGTCCAGCTAGTATTCATGTTTTATATCATAGTGAAAATGAATGTGTTACAATATACAAAACAGAAGATGATCATTTACATAACGAACCAAGATCTATTGGTATTAATCAACAATCAAAAGAAGTAATATGCGAATTATTCACAATGAAAATCAAACCAAAACGTATACTAGAAATATTAGAAGAAAAAGGTCTACCTGTTCCCAAAAAACGACAATTATCAAGTTATTTAATATCATTAAGAAAAAAATATTATGGCGCTCCAACTATTAGCTTAGGTGAACTTGAAGCTTGGTGCCAACAAAATTCATTAATACCTGATGATAATGACAAACCTTGGGTATTAAAGTATCAGATTGAATATGAAGATGAAATTGATAATGATGATGATAATGACAATGGTGATCATAATGATGATGATGATAATGAAAATAAATTTCGATTTTTTGTTACTACTAAAAGACTATTATTTAATGCAAGTATTTCGAATAAAATTCATGTTGATACTACTTACAAGTTAATTTGGCAAGGATTTCCTTGTTTTATTATTGGAACCACTGATATGATTAGACAATTTCATCCATTTGGATTTGCTGTGTGTTCTAATGAAAAACAAAATGATTTTGAATTTATATTTAATTGTCTTTGTGGTGGATTACTTAATTAAACTTACAGATGAATGAACAAGAATTAATACTTATTGCAGATGGTGCTGAAGCCATTAGTAATGCATTTTTAAAAGTATTCGGAACTGGTCATAATGTTGTAATGTGTTGGTTTCATATGCGGAAAAATGTTGAAAAAAAATTATATTTAGTCGAAGATAAAGCATTACATGGTGATATTATGAATGATATTGAAACATTACAATTGTCAACAAATAAAAATGTATTTGATATTGCTACTAGATTATTTTTAAAAAAATGGAAGAATGAAGAAAAATTTATTCAATATTTTTCAAATGAATGGTTAAATTCAAAAAATGGATGGTTTGAAGGCTTAGCAACGCATGTTCCAAGCACGAATAATGCATTAGAAGCCACGAATCGTGTAATTAAAGATGAAGATACATTGAGGGAACGATTAGTTTTATCAAGATTTACAGTGGTTTTATTTTCTATCGTCAATAAATGGTCAAAGGAACGAAATCCCACTCTTATCAATTCAAAAAAATTCGAACATCAACCATTAATTACATTACCAATATGGACTGATGCATACAATTGGGTTAAGCTTAACAAAGCTGTTATATCGATTTGTAATGGTGACACAGCAATGTATTATTTACCTGCTGGTGAAGAAACTAGGATAACAGATAAAGAAATCAAACGATATGAAAATTGCAGGTTTAATTCATTTGACACGTACAAGTCTGTTTACTTCAACATATGGTGCGTATGTTTATCTTACAATCCTGAAAAATGGAAAGAAGCAACAGAGTAGATGTCTAATTCGAGTTCGAATATAAATGAAAAAAAAAAAAAACGGCTTTCATGTTCCAACAGGCAAAAAGCAAAAAGTAAAACTTTCTCCAACAATACACGCCTCTCGAAATAGCAAAAAAGCAAAAGATAAATTTTATCCTAATTATAAAATTATAATTCGAATTTAGACACTTATATAA